ACATCAAAGACTTCAGCTTTCAAAGTGGAACAGAAGTAGAATCCTAGTGCTAAAAGATGGTCACTGCAAAGTTTGCTACAAGCAGGATCTTGGAGCTGGAGAGACGGCTCAGTGGTTAAGAGCACCCGCTACTCTTGCAGAGGACCTGGGTTTAGTTTCCAACACCCACGTTGGTGGCTCACAATCATGTGTGACTCCAGTTCCAGGGGATCCAGTGAGTACTAGACATAGGCATGGTGCACACACACACACATGCAGGCAAAACACTCACACACATAAAACAACACCCCAGAATCCAGTGCCTCTGCAAATGGCTGAACCAGACCTTCGGGGTTGGCCACAGCCCTGGTGACTCCTGCCTGCATCCGAGTTTGAGCAGCGCAGGTGACAGGGGTCGGATGGAGATCCTGTGGTCATGTGATCACACTTTCTCAGCCTCGGTGGCCCATGGGTTAGGAGGGATGTTGAGAACTTGGCCCCTGTCTCCTGTCGTCTCCTCCGAAGCCCAGCTGGAGAGGAAGGACTGGCTTTAGAGGGTGCTTCATGGTGAGAAGCCTGGGCAAATGTAAGCAGACTCAAGGGGGAAACTCGAGAGGTGTCAGAGAATCTGTTTATATCAACCACGGTGCATCAGAATAAATATTCAAATACAGCCATGCATCATGCTTCATTCAGTCATCAGCAGATGGTTCACCCCACCTTTTAAAGGGCTGCTCGGGCCAGTTTCCCCAAAGTTCAGAAGAGTAAAATTACATTTTAAAATGTTTTATTAAAGAATGTTAGGTTTGTTTTACTGCTTTCCAGTAGCTCAATAGTAAATGGTTATAGAATGATCTTTGCACTAATTATTAAAATTTTAAAATAGTTTTCCTTGTACGGGTCATGTGTGAGGATCCTGTTTATTAATTCAGCTCATTCTTTGACAGTTCCGTGCTTGTATATAATGTGTTTGGACTGCTCTCACCCCCATGTTCTCATCGCCCTCCCTTGCTTATCCACGTCCCGTTTCCTCCCAATCTCTTTCCCATTTCCATGTTCCTCTGTGTGTGTACCTCTGGGCTTGACCAGGGCCTTCTCTTTGGCCTTGCCATTGGAACTATCCGTTGGCGTCTGCTGGGCTCACAGAGGGTACATAACTGAAGAAAGTAGTCCCCCCTCCTTGTCCCCCAGCCCACCCTTAGCCTATAGCTCAGCAGTAAGGGCATAGGGTCCCATGAGCCATCCAGGGTCGCTGCCCACCCACGACTGACTGTTGAGACAGCCTGTCTTGTGCAGGACCAGTGCAAATACTTGCCTCTGCTGTAAGTTCCTGACTATACTGGCTGTGCTGTGTCTAGAGGATGGGACTTCACCGCCTTCTCCCTGTTCTCCAGCCTCTACATTCCTCCCATCCCCTCTTCTACAGGCTGCCAGGAGCTGCATGAATGACTTGTTTAGGACTGCACCCTCACCATCACTGCTTCTCAGCATCTTGTGCAACATGAGTCTAGGAGACCTGCCACATTTGCCATCCTGGAGCCTCAGAACAACCCCTGTTGAGCCCAGGATGGAGCCCAGCAGCTGCTCAAGGATGCTTGCTGAGCACTAATTAGCTCTCAGCAAGGCCTAAACAGAGGCCTGGTGTCCTTCACACTAATCGTACTGTTTATGGTAATCAGATTATTTGCACCATTAGCGTCTCCACATAGCCACACGAAGACTCACTAATATATATCAAATATTCATTAAGGAAATAGACTCCTGATGGGTGCAAGCTCCTGCGGTAGCTCGTAGACGCTGAAGTAGACAAGGTCGTTAACTGTTTAAAAATACAAATCCCTGGAGACGGAGGTCGGGTGGAATGAAGAAGCAGCAGCAGCAAGATATAACTAGCTTCTCCCTGCCCACAGTTTAGAAGGAAAATCATGAGAAGCTGCTGGAGAAGAAGTAGGGGACATTTTATGAACTGTCATTTAATATTAACTGTCTTAGGGTTACCATTGCTCTGATGAAACACCATGGCCAGTGCAAGTTGGGTTGATTCCAAAAGCAAGGAGAAGTTTGATTTCCCTTACTCTTCCACATCACTGTTCCTCATCAAAGGAAGTCAGGACAGGAACTCAAACTGGGCAGGCACCTGGAGGCAGGCGCTGACGCAGAGGCCATGGAGGGTGCCGATTGCTGGCTCACTCCTCATGGCTTGCTCAGTCTGTTTTCTCAAAAGCACCTGGGACCACCAGCCCAGGGATGGCAGCACCCTTAGTTTCCTGGCCTCTTCCACATCAATCACTAATTTTAAAAATGCCCTGCATACTTGCCTACAGCCTGATCTCATGGAGGCATTTTCTCGGGTGAGGTTCCCTCCTCTCAAATGACTCCAGCTTATGTCAGGTTGACACAAACTAGGCAGGACATTTATGAACATCTGCACTGGCCTCAGACCCCGGGGCTCCTGTTTGCAGAGATAACACTGTTAACAAACAGGGAAAATGAAGTTCTGGGAGTAGCTTACTGTTCCCTTTGCTGTGGAACCGAGATGCACAAACTCTCAGTTCAAATTAGGTTAGATTCTTAAACTGTCTACAATTTGTAAAATCATGGACAGTTTGCCCCTAATTGACTATATATAGTAAAACATTTTACTGTTCTCTTTTTATCTGACTGATTGCCACTAGTGATGTTGGTCTCCAACCATTAAGAATGATTGAGAAGGTTAATTCCTCTAAATCATTGTCTTTAATGTTAAACTGTAATTATAATAATGGGTAATACAGCTAATAATATAATAATACAAGTATTAGAATAGAATGCACTGTAATAATCGTAACAGATTCAGGTGGGTAACAACCTCTCCTGTCTGTACACACAGACCAGAAGTCTACTTCCTGTGTAGAGCTGGAAGCCCTAGTTGATTTTGAATACCAACATTCCCAGCTCACTGCCAGGGGATGGTGCATCACAATTCACTCCATAACAGAGTGCAGGAACCACTGCTTCACGTCTTTATTCTGTTTGTCTCCTTTTTTTTTTTTTTTTTTTTTTTTTTGGTGTGTTTCGAGACAGGGTTTCTCCGTGTAGTTTTGGTGCCTGTCCTGGATCTTGCTCTGTAGACCAGGCTGGCCTTGAACTCACAGAGATCCACCTGGCTCTGCCTCCTGAGTGCTGGGATTAAAGGCATGCGCCACCACTGCCCAAGTGTCTCCTAATATTTTACCTTGAAATTTTCCAAATCAATGGAAAAATTACTAGAATTAAAAAAAACCTGTGTAGTGATACACATCTGGAATCATGTTTGTCAATGTATTTACATTTGTTCTCTCTTACCTCCTCCCACCCCTTACAGCCCAGGAACAAGTCAACAGTAAAATGATCAAATCTAGGGAAAAACTTTATTATGTGTGTGTGTGTATGTACATGTGTGCACACACATGTGTAGAAGCTAGAGGACAACTTGCATCTCTCTTCCTGCTGTGTGGGGCCTAGGGATGAAACTTGGCAGTAGTGACCTCTACCCTGAGCTGCTTTGCTGTCCATTCAGGACAGTTTATCATTGGTACAGTGCTCCATCTAGTGTGTATTCCTGCAGTCTACAAGTCATCCAGTCATTGGTCACAGTAAGGCCATCCACCTTGCCCAGGTTCTAGTCCATCCATCCACCCACCCATCCATCCACCCACACATCTATCTATCCACCACATCCATCCATCCATCCATCCTACCATCCATCCACCCATCCACCCATCTATCCACCACATCTATTCATCCACCCACCCACCCATCTACCACATCATCCACCACATCCTTCCATCCATCCATCCATCCATCTGCCACATCCATCTACCACATCCATCCATATATCCATTTAATCACATACCACATCCATCTATCCATTCATTTATCTATCCACCACATCCATCCATCCACCCATTCACCCATCTATCCACCACATCCATCCATCCATTCACCTATCCATCCATCTACCACATCCATCTATGACATCCATCCATCCATCCACTACATCCATCCATCCATCCACCCACTCACCCATCCCTCCATCCATCCCTCATTGCAACAGTAATGACTCACAAGTTCTTGCTATTGATTCTTATTCATTATTCTCATTATTTGTTTCTATGCTCTAGTATTCCTAACTCTGCCATAATCCCATCAATGTCACTCTTGTATTTGGGAAGACCACATCCATTTCTGAGTACCATTTACTTCTTATCCCTTAGCATATCGATGTAGATTCAAGCATAAGTACACTGATACTAATACCCTTAGCACATCTTCATTCAAGTTAACACCCAAATAACATGTTTTCTTCTTACAACAAATGTTTTTCAAGTTACTCCTGCCCCTGTTTCTGATATTACTCATGGTCCTGCAGGAAACCAGGCAACTGCTTTGGTCTTTAAAATATGCCACACTAAATTATGATAATAGCGAGTTATGTGCTCCATGGAGCACAAGACAAAAGCGCTCAACCCCACTGTGTCAATTAAGGACTCCAAGGAGAGTGAGTGTTACCAACTCCCAGGCCTGAGAGATAAATGAGAATCCACCCTAGGAAGAAGCACAGTGTTCCAGGCCAAGGAAAGACATGTCCCCTCTAGGGAACTGAGCAAGTGCCTTAAGCCCAGGCAGGTGACCAAGCATGTGTGGAGGTAGGATGTGATGGGGGAGGGAGGTTTAGAGACAAGAGGCAAGGAGGGGGTGGGTATTGCTAGAGCTTTGTAATGGCTGCTAGAGACCAGGCCGGACTGGTGTTCATGAGCAATAGTATTCAACCTTGGCTATATGCTCTCATCTCCTGGGAGGCCCATCAGAAATATAACAGCACAGCCTCAGCCCAGACTACTCAAGTCAGGACCACTAGGAGCATGCAGTGAGGGCCTGTGGGGCCACACATTTCAGTTTCATACCTGGCTTCTGGGAAAACCATCATGAATAAAGGGTGTCACAGGACACAGAGCTAACCCTTGAAATGAAGATCTTAAAAGATTCATTTTATTTTATAGGATTTTGAACTCAACAATGAACTCAAAATGAATGTTCTAAACTTGCTAGAAGAAGTTCTACGAGACCCGGACCTTCTTCCTCAAGAAAGGAAAGCCACGGCAAACATCCTGAGGTAAAGGCCAGGGCAGCTTCTGGTAGAGTTACATTAGACCAGAAGGATACATTCAGACTTTTCTGGGTAGCAGAGGTTGTATGTTCAGCAACAAGACGTTGTCTATCATCTTCTGCTTTGTGGAGACAATTTGGGGTTTGCCATACAAGGGAGACTCTGGACTGAAGGCATAATTTGTATGGAGATGGTTTCTGGAGAACCACATGGTAAAAGGGAGAGCCTTGGGGATTCCTGCTGTGAATCCAGTCAGTAGCATGGAGAGGGTCTTTATTCTGCTTGTGAGTACTAATTATGGATCACCAGCTCACTTTTGTGGCAGGATGGTAGTGTTTTCTGTGAGAGTGGCCATGTGCCTGGAAAGTAGTTATACATGATCCTTGGTTTCTTGCACTGGTCCTAGCCAGGTTTTTCATTAATTTCGTATCTTCAGCTGTCCACGTCAGGTACTCATATGGGATTTGGTAAAACATGAACCTGACATGTCTATGTGATGAAGGCTTGGACTTGACAGACCCTACTAGAAAGTTGTGTTTGTCCATAGTTGTGATGGCCAGCATTCACACAAACAACACACTCTCTTCTGGTTTCTTGAACTGATTTGGGGGATATTTTTTTTCTACTTCACTCTACATGAAGAATGTATCATCAATGGTTTTATGTGGATGTGTCACTTATGGCTTCTCAGCTCACCTATGGATACATCTTCTGCCCTACTCGAGGGTGGGAAGTCTGGCATCTGTCTGCTAAAACCTAGTACTGCTTCACCATTCTGGCTTTCAATTCTTCCTTCACTTACAGCCTGGAAGTGACCTTTGTTTCTTCCGAGCTTGTTTGCATTGTGTCTTGGTTTAAACAGATTATATAGAAGGCATGTGTGGAGAGGAATCCATTCAGTTCAGTCTACCGTGCTATTGGGAGTCTCTCCCTAATGCAACAAGGCCAAACTTGAGATGCTGGTAATTAGCAGTTGTACCACAAGTCATTCATATTCCCCATTAAGTTCCCAAAGCCAGACCGTTGTGACGCTGCTGGAAGTTTGATTGTATTCTCCATTGGAAAACTGACACGTTCAAGTCCCAACATCTCCTACCTCAAAATGTGATCCTATTTGTGAATAGCATTTCTGTAGATAGAGTCAGCTAAGTTGGGACATCCTGGAAGGTGAGGCTCTAATCTAAGGTGACTGGTGTCATTATAAGAAGATAGCCATGGGAGACAGAGATATGGAGAATATCATATGGGGATGGGGATGAAAATTGCAGTTAAGTAGCCACAAGACAAGGAACACCAAGGATTGCTGACAAGTGCCTAAAGCTAGAAAATGCAAGGAAGTGTTTCCTTAGAGGCATTAGAGATACACACCCCTGCTGACATTTTGACCACAGACTTCTGTTCCAGAAATCTGTACATCTCTGTTGTTCTCAGTTGCCTACTTTGTGGTACTTTGCAAGGGCAGCCTAGAGAACTCTTAGGGGCCTTCCTTTTATTTCCTATTCTATAAAAACATCCAGGTAAGCTGAGGTGTCCCATTACCTAATCTATTTCCTGATTTCAGAATTATAACTATGTGTTCAGGTAAAGCCCAGTTTCACTGGATGAGTGCTTATGCCCAGAAGTGATTGTTATTCATTTTCTCATTATGTAAATGCTCCTTATATTTAAAACCATTGACATTTCAAAACTGTATTCTGAAAGTTTATGTCCCTAGGGACATTTGACAAAATAACCACCAGGAAATGCTCATGTTCACCTTAGGAAATACTGTCCGGCTTGGGCAATAGGAGGCCTTTCACCTGAGAATTCCTCATGACTGTCTGCCAGCAGAGGTTTCTGCCTACTCCAAGAGGTGACCTGAAAAACCAGTTAAATGGAGTTAGTATGTAGTGAATCATATTTACCATTCCAGGTCTTTATTACTTACCAGGACTCTTATGTCGATTCTCTTTGCTGAGTAACGATCCAACCCATAAAAACACAAAGCTGGTGAGGAATAGACGTGTTGGTAAACAGCCTGGGAGAATGCCACTGAACAGAGACCCATTTTAACCTTTCAGGTTGCCACAGGGTTCAGGGTTGTCTTTAGCTGCTTAGAACCTCCATGTTTCTTAACCAATCTGGACTTGAGTTTCCTCACTTATGACTCAGGCTGTTGTGAGGACCTCGGGATTTAATATGGTGGAAAGAGGTTAGCAGAACGCCTGTGCTATAAAACCTGCACCATAGGTACACATATGACAGCAGCTGCTGTTCTTATTAGATGCTCTGAGAACTCTTGGGACAAACAGTCCTCGCTGTCAGAGTGACATGGCTTGATGAGACCTGCTGGACTTGTGACCTTCTCCACATTCTTGGGACTTTCTTATCACCTCTTCTACAGAGAAAGTGGGGACCAATGTCAGAGCAGAAAACAATGGCTCCTAGCACTGTGTTTAGACTATTTTTTATTTCTATAATTGAAGTAAGAGTTTTCCATTCATAGAATGTAACCTCATTCTTTCCTTCTAAGTTTATTGGTGTTTCATATTAAATGCACAATCATCCAATTAGTTATACTGCTGGTTGATGTGGTGGGGAGGATTCTTGTGTGTGTTTGTCAAAACCAGAAGTCAGGAGTTAGGAGGTGAAAAGCAAGTCTTGTTTCAGTGGGTACTGGACCAGAGGCCTCCACATGTGATGAGGAATGGGAAATATTGTGGGGGATAAAAACTTACCTTATTCTGGTTATGCATAGCCCAAACATTAGAAATTTATATGTATTCCAGTAAAATATAAACACAAACATATGCTTAAGCCTATATTACACTAATATATTAGAGCAAACAGTTATGGCTGAAGAGATGGCTCAGCAGTTAAGACCCAAGCTTGATGTCCAACACCTACTCCAGGTGATTCACAACGACCTGGAACTCCAGCTCCAACACACTCCTCTGGTCTCTGCAGGCACCTGCACTCACATATGTACATAACCCTTGGGATGGCTATTCTTGGTTGCCAACTTGACTACATCTGGAATGATCTACAATACAGAAGTGGAGAGCATGCCTGTGAGAAATTATTTTTGCTGGTTTGAAGTGGGTGAATCTACTTCTAATCTGACCTTTGAGGGAGGAAGATGCACACTTTTGATCTGGATCTTGAGGCAGGAAGACACACCTTTAATCTGGGCCGTACCTTCTACTGGAAGCTTATACAGGGACATGGAAGAAGGAAGCTTTTGCTCTTTGCCTGCTTGCCCTTGCCTTTGCTAAAACACCCATTCCTTCACTGGCACTGGAACCTACTTCTTTGGGATTCCAGCATCTACTGAAGACCAGTCAAGACATCCCTTATAGACTGAGCAACTACCGGATTTTTAGACTTTCTGTTCACAGCCAGCCATTGTTGGATTAGCAAGCCTGCCGCTTGTAAATCATTCTAATAAATCCCCTTTACACCACACACACACACACACACACACACACACACACACACACACACACACACACACACAGAGAGAGAGAGAGAGAGCACACAGAGAGAGAGA